AACTGCACTGCTGCCCAGTGCAACTCTTCTCTACTTCATGGTGTCCTTTTTCATCCTCCTTTCCCTCCACTTCATCCTGTTGGAGGTTCCTTTCCTGCAGGAGACGTGGGTCCACTGGCCAGAGCCATGCACATGGTCCAGCTTTGTGCCAGTGAGATCCTCTGAGCTGTGGAATGCTCCTCGTGCAAGCACATCCTTCTGACCTCTGCCCTTCCCTCCTCTGCAGCATGCCAGCTGGGATTTTACAAGTCAGCCCCTGGGGACCAGCTGTGTGCCAAGTGCCCCTTGCACAGCCACTCGGAGAGCCGAGCGGCGCGAGTGTGTCGCTGCGACAGCAGCTTCTACCGCGCGCTGCAGGACCCTCCCTCGGCCGCCTGCACACGTGAGTACCAGTGCCACAGTGGGATCAGGGGCTGCAAAATGTCTTAGAGACCAACTAGTCCCAGAACTTCAGCAGCAGAAGTGAGGCTCTGATTTGAGCAGCTCTCTAGGCTCTGGTTCCCCAAGCCAAGGGCAGCAGTGCCTCTATCCTCAGTGGTCCACACACATCCAACATCCTCTCAGGCATATCCATCAGCTCAACACCTCAATCATCATAGAATCATGGAATTTAGAGGCTGGAATGGACCTTATAGGTCATCTAGTCCCAACTCCCCCTGCCCTGGGCAGGGACACTTCCCACCAGAGCAGGTTGCTCAAGGCTTCATCCAGCCTGGCCTTGAACACTGCCAGGGCTGGGGCAGCCACAGCCTCCCTGGGCAACCTGGGACAGTGTCTCACCACCCTCACAGGGAAAACTTCTGTCTAAGATCTAACCTAAATTTCCCTCTTTGAATTTCTCCCCATCACTCCTTGTCCTGTCCCTGCAGTTCCTAACCAAGAGTCCCTCTGCAGCTTCCCTGTAGCCCCTGCAGATCAAATCATAAATCATCAAGGTTGGAGGAGACCTCTAAGACCATCAAGTCCAACCCTTAACCTGTCACTGCTGTAACCCCCAAACCCTATCCTCCAGCACTGAGGAGGATGTGATCCATCTTAGCTCTGTGGCATTTCACCCTGAGCTCTATCTGTGTCTTTGCTGCCTTGTGAACACATTCCCCTCCTGGACATCTCTGTGTTCCTTGGAGCATCACTGTACACTCACATCCCAACGATGCATCTCTCCATTGCTCCCACCACATGACCAGCTCTGCCCAAAGCTCTGCTTCTCTTCCAGGCCCTCCCTCTGCTCCTGTGAACCTGATCTCCAGTGTAAATGGCACATCAGTGAGCCTGGAGTGGGGTCCCCCCCTGGACAAGGGGGGCCGTGCTGACGTGGTGTACAACGTGCTGTGCCGGCGCTGCGCGGGCACCGCGGGGCCGTGCGAAGCCTGCGGCAGTGGCATCCGCTTCGTGCCCCAGCAGATGAGCCTGGTGCAGGGAGCCCTGACTGTCACCAACCTCCTGGCACACACCAACTATTCCTTCTGGGTGGAGGCTGTCAATGGTGTCTCTGACCTCAGCCTGGAGTCCAGGAGAGCTGCGGTCGCCAACATCACGACGAACCAGGCAGGTAGGAGGAGCAGACACATCTCTACTGGCTTTGCTGGTGTGGGTGATGCTTAGGCACCCCAGTGGGGAACAGGTGCCAAGATGACATTAAGTGCAGCCTGGGGGACAGAAATGTTTCCCCAGAGCCCAGTTTGCAGCTGGACTCACCCAGGAGCTGGGCAGAAGGGCTGGTTTCCCACACACTGTGTGGGGAGGAGGAGACACCTCTCCCAGGCTTGGCTGTATGGGTGATGCTGAGGGTGCTCTGATGCTGCTCCAGCCAGTATCTGCAGGAGCCAGAACCTGCCCTAACAGCCAAGGGCTGGTTTGGTGATGGGCTTGGGATCCCCAGGAGATGTGAGCCCTATGCTGTGTGCTGGTATTGGGAGCTGGGGTGGGTGCTGGGGACAAGCTGCTGCCCAAGGCAATTCTGCTCTGCTTCGTGGTGTCCTTTTTCATCCTCCTTTCCCTCTGCTTCATCCTGCAGCTGCTGTTGGAGGCTCCTTTTCTGCAGGAGGCAGGGGGCACGGAGAATACTTGTTTATTGACAGGAACACTAAGTGGAGCATGAATCTTTCAGGCTGTTCCTCCAGTCTTCTGTGCCTTCCCCAAGGGCCAGGCAGCAGTTCATGCTCTGCTCTTAGCTCACACCAATGCCAGGCCCTGGCAGGTGACAGCAGCATTTGCTGGGACAAGTCTCTCCTGTGCAAGTCTCACCTTTGCAAATCCCTTGCTGCAAAGTGCCCTTTCCCCAGGAAATTCCTCTGAGCAGTGCTCTAGCCCAGGTGGGACAGGACCTCGTTCCAGGGTCACCTGTGCATCACTCAGAACCCTTTTTCATGGAGCACGTTGTGGGCAGAGGACAGGGCAGGGTCTGACATTCCTTCTTAATCCTCCCAGTTTGAAATGAGCCTGCAGGAACTTCCTATGGTGCTGAGCCCCTTCTGCTCTCCTGGCAGAGGTGCCAGTGGGAGAAACCTGGGCAGCCTCACTGGGGTAGCTCATGGCTGGCACCAGAACAGCCCCTTTTGGCACTAATGCCAGCACAGAGCACTTCTGCAGACATGGAAATAGCTCAGTCCTGCTGGCTCCATCCCTGCTGATCCCTCCAAGTGCTGAGGAGCTGCCTCAGCCTGATGCCTTGGAGGGAGATGCTCTCAGGAAGTGTTGAATACTCCCATTTCAATCTCTCTGCTGGAAGGTGGATGCTGAGCAGGTGCAGTGAAACCAGCAGGGTGGAGAATTTGGTAATGCTGTAAGTTTAGCTGCCGTGCCCATGTGGTGCTCCAGCTGCTGCTCACTGCAGAGCATCCCTGTCCTCCAGGAGGGCTCAGGGACCCCTGATGCACTGGGTGGGGTGTCTGTCCATGCTGGGTGCTGGTCACCCTTGTCCCTTCAGCCCTGATGGCTGAGCAGGACTGGGGTGGATGCAGCACAGGTCCCCTGGGACTGTTTGGAGTGATGACTCCATGTGCCCATGGAGTTTAATTTCTTCCCACCCTGTTCCAGCTCTCCAGGCTCCTGTGTCCCAATAGCATTTTCTGCTTCTCAGAAGAGCCAGCTCAAAGATGAACTGAGATAAAACTGCTGC